ATAATCAATGTGTAAGTTTTTTTTTTTTATAAATTTACCAATACATAAAGTAATATTATTGACACTACAGTACAGAAATATCTGTTATAGTAGGATTATTTTGCAGAAATTATCAAGGTATTTCTCATTTTAATTATTGATTTGTAAGATTTTCTAAAATAGTATGACTTCGTCAACTGGAATAACATAAATTTATACATGCGTATTTGAACTTATGCATCAGGATATGTCTATATTCAACATATATGTCTATGTTCATCTAAAAGACTGTAATAATCCAAAGTAACAACTGGTGCATATGATGAAACGTTAATGCATTTCATACGTTATGCGTATCGATCAATTGAATGCTACCACATGAATATACAGCGAAATAATTTGATATAATGTACCGTGAAGTACCCTGTATAAAAAGTATAATTAAGTACACGTTATATTTTAAATTACTATCATCTTTGTATAACCATCATTGCAATATATTTTGTTGTTGTGAAACAGTATACTTCTTTATGGTGTAGCCTTTCGTATTGACTTGGAAATAATTCGCAAGTACCCTACGAAAGCTGACCTCCATAAAAATGAAAGTGTTCAGTATTCTATAGTACAAGAAACTTATTTCATTATAATTAATTTCAATTTCTACAAATATTCTAATTAAATAAACAATATACAAATTACCGTTAATATGCGTCCATTCAATATGAACATCGTTGACTAAAAAATAGTCTGAAATCAGCTATGGTGAAAGCCAATAAAGTTATAATAATTTGTAATTTCATATTTAGAAGATGAGACAAATGGTTCGATCTTTTAGCTTGACATATAATACTCCTTTTTCTTGTAAATTTAATGCATTGATACATTTTATCATGTCCTTAGATATCAAAGTTTAAATATACCGTAACGTTGTTTCATTTTACTTATAAGTATATATGCAATAATGAGAATTACTTCCTTCTATCAATTATTAGCAACTATGAAAATCAAAACAAGAAAATATACCTTTTCATGTTATCTTGTGTTCCAACAAGAATAATCGATATTCTTTGTTCAGTGTAAATATACAAAAAAGTATTGTTATAATGATACTAAAGATAGCAAAATGACTTATAGCATTTCTGTCTGATTAGCGACATGATGCCCTTTCTCGTACGTTGTCTTGAATTCTTCAAACCGTTTCACCTCCTTGAGCAAATCCTATATGTATATATATACACATATGTATACGTTATAAATTATAAAACATTTTATACTGTTACATTATTTACTAAATATCATCTACTAATATAGATTGTATAAATCAGTGCAAACATTTTAAAAGAAATACTACAAATAAGAAAATAAGTATCATGAAAAATGAATTTGGAAATGATTGTAATTTGTATGTACGTGTGATTTTACTTCCAGGTGACAGTAAATGTGTACCCGTTAGTAGTTAATAGTTCGAGACACTATGTTCTAAATTAAAATTTAGATTTCACAAAATTATAGAGAAATTATGACGAAATTATTGAATAATTTAACCTTGACTCGCAAATGAATGTTGATTTACGCGAGTAAATATATAAATATTGTAAATACATTAAGTTTTAATGAAATAGACTATATTTACCTTTGGCAGTGATTTTCTATCATAACTCTGAGCATATTTTCCCACACAGCGGCTCAGTTGCACGTAGATGTCACATAACACTTCGACCGGGAAATCTTTCGTAACATCAACAGTGTGTTGCCACGCGGTTTCCAACTCATTCTTATCTACAATAAGCTTCTCGTTTTCCTCGAATCTGGCTGGACTAGAATCACTCTCAATAGCAAACGATAACTCGTCCATACTCTCTCGTCTAGACGAGGAATTAGATCCAGCATTCTCCGCGTTTTTCTCATTTTTTTCTTCTACAAAACATATATGGATATTCTCAAGTTCGTCGATCCGTTGTTCGGTGACACAATTGGTTTGCGCTGTTTGCGCGTCTTTCGAATTTTCATTTTGCGAGTCATTCTCAGTGTCAGAATTATTGAACAACGGTACATGTCCGTTCAAAACACTGTTCGCCTCGGTTTCGAACTCTTGGAATTTTTCTAAATCAATGCTGGTGGTTTCATTAGTCAAACAGACTTTGCTGTCGAAAGTGGTAACGCTGTCGTCAAATGCAATCTTTTTCTTCTTGTGGACCTTTTTCACGAAACCCCTGGCCCAGGCAGGTATTCTACGTTTTCTAGAATTACTATATCTCTTCCCGTTCACAACAAGAGCATGACTAGGACTTCCAGTATCTTTTTTATCACTTCGTTCAGTTGTAGACTCGGGTTGCTCTAGGGTTGATTTAGACTGGATTTTATTTTCAGCGTTATGACTACTTTTGTTTTCGACGATCTTACGATTTTTCGAGATCTCACGGCACTTATCTTCGAAATCAGAATCCAATTCTGCCTTTATCAACGCGTACGCATTGTCGCGAAGCGAACACGCGCGATGTCTTATCAATTTGTCGGCCGGATCTCTGTGAAAAAACAAAATAAATATATCCAAAAAATAATTAAGGAATGATAATGATTGAGAAGCTGTATTAACTAACTTCAGTGGTCTTCAATATTAGATAGATACATGTACAAAGTGTATTTCGTAACATGTAAATATAACACTAACCGCACTGGATTCATGAAAATAATAAGAAAACGTTCACATAAACTAAGCGTGTCCTAAGATATTGATGAATATCAATCCTTAGCAAAAAGCCCAAAATAGAATACATGTTTATATGAACGATTCTTATTATTTGTACGTATATGTATCCACGTTTGTTCTCGATGTGTTCCATGTATAAGAAATTGAAGACCACTTAACTACAGAGCAACAACAGCAACGGATAAACAGGAAAGTCTGGACTACCTCTTCAATATTCCAAGCGAAGGCCTATCACGTAAGCTGATAAGAAAACACACAATATGAATGTCAGTATGAACTTTAATTCCATTATTTATATTTATATAAGTTATATGAATAATTAGTTAATAGCGAAGAAATCAAGTGACAACATTGATAAATATAAATAATAGCAAATAAAGTGCAACAAAACTATCGAGGGACGATGTATTTTCGATCAGAAAATTAAATCGACTCGTTATAGCATATAATATAATACAAACCGTGAGCAAATGAAACTAGTATTTTCTAGTGTCTTTAGAATAAACCTGTTTACTGATGACTCTCAGATAAATTTAAATAACGGATTTAATAACGTAATTCATACACAATGAATCTACGAACCTATCGGGATTATATTCTAATGCATTTCTGCAAATTAGATCGATGTCGTCAAGGAAATCCCTGGCGCAAAGATAGCAGTGCATATCGATCTTTGTCATCATGGTTTCCAAATCCATTGGCTGTTTTATAATCATGTTGTAATCCGGTACTTCTTCTGTATCCACCGGTTTTGTGAACATGAAAAATCTGTAACAGAAGAAATTTGTATCATTTAAACGTCCTAAAATACATAAGTAACCAGCAAATAATAATATAAATATATTTACTGTCGATTCCTTGCCAGTTTCGCGCATATTTCTCTCAAAAAGATTCTTAGTTCTCTCAAGGAAACTTCTTCCTTTTCGTACAACATCTTCCTCTCTTCCTCTGTTAATTTCTTTGGTATGGGGTCCGGTGCTAAAGGAAGTTCTTCCAAAATTTCGATTTTATCATCCTTTATTTTAGGCGATTTCAAACTTTGAATCATAAAAATGGGTCGGAAGAATTTCGATCTTTGCTCGGCCGTTGGTGTTTTCATCGAATAAACTTCCCCGCGAAGCTCGCTAAAGAGACTTCGTAACTGGTTAGGGAGGTCTTGATACGTCGTGTCGCTCGTAGCCAGAATTAGAATAGGCAATGAAGGATCGAGTGCTGCGATACGACACAAAAAAACTGCTTTCACAGTTTCAGGTACAAGCGGCCACCATTGATCAATTGACCGAATATAAATTATGGACGGTACATTCCTGGCAGCTTCATTAAATACCTAGATTAGAAAATTCAGTGCACATTTTAGATTGTGTTTCGTTCGGGTAGTATCTGTTTGTTTTTAGAACTTGTTAATAACGAACTTGCACACAGGTTTCTTCTGGAGATCGTCCACTCTCCGCAAAAAGGGTGCTAACGTCTAATGTTTGAACGGGTAGATGTTCCATGTGATACAATAACGCTTGTGCTAAATGGGGTCCTTGACCTTCAGACAGATTTCCTCCAGAAATTAGTAACCTCGGACGATGTATTCCTTTAGTAATTTTAACTCTGAAAAAATATCTTCGATTATATTAAACCAGAACTTATACGCCATTAATAATGAATACAGTAAGACAAAAAGTGTTATGATGTAATCTATTTGGTTAAAAACTGGATTATTGTGACAAGTGAAAGTTACATGTACCGTTTTTTTTCTTTTTTTTTATAAAATCTCACACCTTACAATATCCTGTCATAGAATAAAGAAATATGGTAAAAATGGTATCCATTCGATTTACTTAGAATTTCGTATTTATAATATAACACTTTTAACTTCTGAATCTTTCAATTATAAAACTTTATTACTTCGCCATAGCAGGATTAATTCCTTGAGGAAATACTCCTTTTATGGAACTTATTAACTCTTCCAGCGGTGGTCCTAGAAGAGGTTCCATAAATGCTTGCAATTTTCTTCGAGCACAAGGTGATACTCTTTGTGATGATGGGACAAGCATAGAACTGGCTTGAAAGAAATCTCGCTTTTTTACCTGTAAAAATATATATACTCTAGTATTATATTAATTTATGATCCATTTACTGTTCGTTAAGAGAAACGTACTTCGACACGTTCAGGATCCAACAGTAATCGATTGCTTGTCATATATATTTGGGGATATGTTCTTCTTAATCCCTGTAAAACAGCTTCAGTGCATAGAGCCCTTAAGTCTGATCCACAGTAACCTGTTGCTTTTTCAGCTAATATTTCTAACAATTGTTCTGACGGTGAATTCTTCCATTTGCTGACATGAATTTTTAAAATTTCTAGTCTTTCTTTCATTGCAGGTAAGGGGAAAAATAATTCACGGTCGAAACGACCGGGTCTTCGCAAAGCTGGATCAATAGCATCTATTCTATTTGTTGCTCCAATAACTATAACCTAGCATAAAATAGAATAATTTTGACCAATTATATTAACAATATTAATTTGATATTCTGCAAGTAAGTTCTAAAGTGAAAAATATTTTACCTCCCCTCTATCGCTGAGGCCATCCATAAGTGCCAGAAGAGTAGACACGATACTAGCATGAATCTGATCCTGCTTCGTACTTCTAACAGGTGCAAGGCCATCTATTTCATCGAAAAATATTATGGACGGTTTCATTTGTTGAGCCTGCTCAAATAACAAACGTAATTGGCGTTCCGATTCTCCAACCCATTTAGATAGACAATCTGCGCCTTTCCTCATAAAGAATGCCATTTTTCTACTGCCTTGACTACACTCGTTTGCCAGTGCTCTAGCTATTAATGTCTTACCAGTTCCTAATTATTTGATATAAAACATTAGTTTTTAAAAATATATACTTTCATGCACTGACGAATACTGCAATTTACACTGAAAATATTTACTCGCATGATTACATAAACATCCAATAATAATACCTGGTGGACCATGAAATAGTACTCCCTTTGGCGGAGTAATGTGATAACGTTCAAATACGTCTGGATACATCATAGGAAAAACAACCATTTCTTTAAGGCAGTGAATGTGTGATTCTAAACCTCCAACATCGTTAAACCTAATATTAGTATCTAAAGTTATTGGGTTTATATCTGCTTTGCGATCAGGTGGTCCACCTTGAGGTATTGCCGATTGCCTATTATGAAATTAATAAAATAGAAAATTCAATGTACAATAATATTATCGCTTATTCCATTGCATACTAAATTCAATGGAATTATTTATAGATATTTCGAGAACTATGCCTATGTACATCATACCTCACCTTGCTTTCTTGCTTTTTTTTTTATCATAACGCTGAGGTTCTGAATCACTGGAATCACTAGAGCTTGTACTTTTACTCCTATGTTTACGTCTTCTCATGGAATTACTAAGAACACTTCTTAGTGCTTTTATAGATCGTCGAACCGGTTCTACATTAGCTTGAAATCTATCTACAGTCGGCTTTTTTTGACGTAAACTATATTTTCTAGGGCCAGGTGAATCCGAAGATTCACTTAAATCACTATCTACCACTGCAAAAAATAACAGATTAATAATATTTATAGACTTTGTATCATTTATAAAAAGTTTAGAAGGCATGCGTAAATCAAACGTAAATGTCGAACCTGTAAGCTTCTTACCCCTTGGTAATTGTTGTTGTGTTGTTCTTCTAGTTCGTTTAATACGTGTGTACATATCTTCATAACCCTGCAAGCATTAAAAAAAAACAATATTGTATAAATACTTTCAAATACTTTCATACAAATAAAATTAATAATGTTTATTTGAAAATGAAAGTTATTTATAAAAGCTAATGCATGTTCATAAAATTATAAAAAATCATGTTACATCTTCGTTTTCAGAATTATCATTATTTTCTGCCTTCTCGCTTTCTTGAGAACTGTCTTCGTCACCTTCATCTTGCTCTACTTTAGGCTTTACATCTTTTTCAATTAAATTTCCTCCTAGTCTTGTCACGGGACCTTCTCTGAGTCTACAAGGACTATCAGATTTTCTTGTTCTGTGAAGAAATTGTTTGAACGTATAAATATAATTGTTAAGTAATCGTATCGATATAATGTCTAATTTGATGTACTTTTAGATATGTACATATTTTAAAGAAATCAAATATATCCATGGAAATAAAATAAACTTGTATCCTCAGTTTACTTAAAATTTATGCATTATATTAACAAATGTTTACCTCACATCTTTTTCCTCATTTGGTTTACTTCTGGTTCCCATTTTATCTTTATGTTCTCTTTCTGTTCTGTCTCTTTCTTGTCTATCTTTTAGATCTCTAACATCTTTTTCTTGTTCTGTTTTTTCCCTAAGTTCACGATCCACCCTGCTTCTACGTTCCCTACTGTTCTGTCGATCGTGTTCTCCTCTCTCCCTCATGTGCCTCGATGAGTTCTTATTGGGAGGATGATTCTCCCGCGACCTAAGAGGCATACGCTCTCTAAGATCACGTTTTCTTTCAGGAACTTCATCCACCATTTCTTTATCAGATGAAGAACCATGTTGTTGAAACATGGGGTAACCTTTCAATGTTTGTGTCCCTGAAATATCATTAGATACAGATATTACGGATACATAAAAATCATGAAATTTATTTGTTCGATATTGATTTTAAGACTTTTTTACCTAAAATCCAACTAGTATTAAGATTATCATACGTTTGCATTCTGTTACGTGTACTGCGGCGAACGCTTAAATTGTTCATAGATATATGAGAATTTGTATTTGAATGTGATCGCAAAGTACGTAAACTTTTCACCCTTCTGGCGTTAGAGCCGAGATTTCTGCTTCTAGGAATAAAAATATCTTCTTCTGTATCCATCGAATCCAATGCAGCATCATCATCTGACATTATCTAAAATATGTTAACAAACAAGTGTCTAATTTTTAAATTTATATTTTGTTGTTACTAAAATCATTGAATATGAATGATTTAGAAGAAGATGTATTTTTCGTATCTCGTATCTTACAATGCGATATTGAAGGCAATACGCATTTATTGCAATATTCTTTCACAATAATTCTACCTATAACGAATGAGTTTGATGCAATGATCCTAATATAATA